GGCCTGTGGGGAGGTGGGGGTAGAAGAGACAGGCAGTCCCTTTGGTTCTTGTTGCAGCCGGGCATCAGGAAGACACCAAGCTGCACTCTGGAGGTGGTGCAGAGAGTCGCCCCACTGGACCAGCAGCATGGGGCACCTTTCAAGCGACCCAGCCTGGGGTGGGAGACACCTCACCACGGAGATCAGAGACGTAAGTGGCGCAGAGCGAGGACTGTGCAATTCTGTTTTGAAGTGGAGTAAAATCCATGTGGTTTATATATATATATATATATAAATATATATATATAAATATATATTTTCCTTTAATCTTGGGCATTTTGTTTCTCTTTCTGAGACCATAACTTGAAAAAAGAAAAAGATAAAACACTACAAGAGCCAATACTCATATAAAAAGAAATTGTATCCCTTAAAAGCTGTACAGTTTTATATACATTAACAATGTACTTTTTGCTGCCTTCTAGATAATTTATTTTGCAACACATTACTGCACAGTTGTAAATAACTTATGTACTGTAACATCACTTTCAGTCATGTGTAAAGAAATAAATTAATTAATTAAAATGATCTTTGTATGTATAGTTCCCCCAAGGCAGCACCCCTCCCTTCTCCTCTCTGACCCAGGGGCCCAGCGGCTCCTTCTGCCTGTGCAGCAGGCAGGCAGGCAGGTAGGCAGGCAGGCTGGCCGGCCGGCCGGCCCTGGGCTCATCCTTGCCTCCCTCCCTCCCTCCCTGGCCAGTGCTCAGCTGAGCTGTGCCCTGGGCTTCTCTGGGCAAGGCTTGACATCTCACCACAGACTGATCTTGAAAGAGCCTCGTGCTCCCCTTGGGAGCCTGCGGAACTGGCGGCTGCTCTTGGCACGCCTGGGCAGAAACTGACCTTTCATGGGGCAGGACCTCAGGGCAGGGGGGTGCAAGAGAGGCCAGGACGGTCAAGCCGCTTGCAGTAGGGAAGGTGTCTGCAAGACCAGCCAGGAGAGCCTTGGGGTTTCTGGCTCAACTTGGGCCCGGTTCCAAATTGTGGATTGTTGAGTAGAATTTTGTAACCAGGAAGTTCAGAGCAGTGCATGCTTGGCTCAGCCCTCCTCTGAAGAGCTCTCTGCTTGTGGATGGAGGGAGCAGGGCTTGCTTTTGAGTGTCCCTGGGACAGGCAAGGAGGTGGCTGGGTGAAAAGGGAGCCTCCTGTTTCCCAAAGCTCTTGCCGAGAGTATTTTTCTGGTTGTGGTCTAAGCAGGCTCAGTTCTGTGATTGCTTTCTCACGCAACGCTTATCAAAATCTTTTGGGACTGGCTGCTTCCAGATCTGGACTGTTCATTGACAGCCCTGAGTCTTGGGGAATTGCTGGCTATCAAAGACTGGAGGACTCCCATCCCCACCCCCCACCCCCCACCCCCAATGCGGAAGTTAATTTATGAAGGCAAATGTGGACCTGTCACTCTGATGCTTACAGGGAGGTTTACTCCTGAACCTGCCTTGTTTTAGCAACATGCATACAGATTCAGAATGAGTGGCTGGCACAGTTGCATTCTTGTGCTAGCAAAGGGGGTCTTCCCTGCTCCACCATTTAGAATATGGACGGTTGTTGTGAGAAAATTGGGGAGCAGAGACTGAGAGAGAGTGGTAAGGCAAAGGCTGGGGCTCCTGCCCGCCCCCAGAAGCTGGCTGAAGGGAATCCTGGGCCTAGCTCCTCTTCCTGAGAGGCGGCTGCTTTGACAGGCCGTGCTGTGTGGAGGCTCGTGTCTCGGCGTCCTTTCCCCCTCCCTCCCTCCCCAAGCTTTCAGCCAGCAAAGCCCTTCTCTGAGGCAGGCTGCAAAAGATTTGCATGGTGGGCAGTTGGCAATTTGCCACGAGAGCCAGGTCACGCGGGTAACTACTGGAAAGGGCAGAAGGTGCACCGTTTCCCCAGGGCCTGCTCAGCCGGTCTCCCCTCAAGGCTGAGCCGCCAGGAGGGGCGTCTTTCCAGCCTGTTCCGGCCCAGCTGCTGCACGGGTGCATCTCTCCTGTCTGGCCTGGATTGCTGGCTGGCAGGTTCGTGCCCATGAAACTCCACCAAGTGCATGTGGGGGATGGGGGGAGGACACCTAAGAAGCCTTTGGTTCTTAGCATCCGGTGCTGGGAAAAGTTTCTTTTGGAACACAAGAGGGAAGCCTCCCCTGCCTAAAACTGTAGTGCTTCTTCATCGGTGGGCGCCAGCAGAGCCTTCATGGACTGGGCTTTGGGTTTCAGAGGGGGGGGGCGCGGTTTCCACCACCTCTGTGCACATGGACGGAGCCAAATTCTGCTTGAAAATGTGGTTCTCCCACTTTGTTCAACCAGAGAAGTGTGAACGCTCCCCACCAGCAAAGTATTGTTGAGTGGGCTTGGCAGCACTTGAAGGTGCTTGTCTTGGCCACCTCCAGCATCTGCTGGTGGCTGATGAGCTCCCTGTGCGGCTTCTGCAGGAACCGGCCTGTGTGGAAGGATCCGAGTCCTCCAGAAGCCTTTTCCCATCATGCTGCACGGGACATTTGCAAAGCTTTCATCAATTATGGGGAAACTTGTGGTTTAGCTACTTCCCGCTACTCAGCACCTATCCTCGTGTTCCACCTCTGAAGCTACAGGGATCCAGTTGTCTCTCTCTTTTCTTCTTGATACCGATGGGAATCCCCTCTCCACCCACCCCAGACCCATCCTTTAAAGCCTGAATCATGGCAGGAGCATAATAGCCCTGTGTGATACCGTGCAGTCTGTTGATTTGGACACCAGTGTAAATAGCCCTTCTTGTTAAATCGCTTCTACCAGACAATTGTATATATACATGTAAATAACTCTCACAGGTCAATCCACACATCCTTTTATTTGTACTCGTGCAACTTGCATAGAATGTGGAGTTAAACAGCAGCAGGGTGCATTGTTTGTAATGTAATCATGTATTTTTTTATTTTTTATTTTTTACCAATGTAGTTGGTGTACATATAGTTTGTCAGTGCTGGTGCTGCCGAGGGCACCATAAAACTGCCCTTTAGCTGTACAACTTCCTGCAGAAAGAGGTGAAGTAAATACAGGTGTTATTTTCTACAGTTGCATGTACAGAGAGAAGTGCAGAGATGCTGTTGTCCTTCAAGAGATAATGTTCATAAATAAATTTTTTTTTTTAAAAAAAGGACAAGTGTGCTATGGGGTTTTTGATTTTCGCTGCTTCTCAAAGCCTTTCCAAACGGGCTCTCCTCCTCCGTCTCGTTTCACGCTGTGAGCCTTGGACATTCCCGAGCAGAGTTTTCCTGCAGCAGCCTTTCTACAGAGAGGAAGCCAAAGGAGCAAAGACAGACATACCTCCAAGGTTTAATGCATCTTCCACCGTAGGCCAGCTCCAGATTTTGCGAAGCGAGGCGGATGTTGGCCATTATCAGGCTGAAGAGAAATAGAAAGTTACGCACTGGTGTGTGCCCTACATGGCAGGAAATCGGATAGTATGTCTGGCAGTTCCTTTTCCGATTAACACACTTGGTTCAAGGCAACCCTCAGTGTATCCAAGGAAGTGAACCAAACAAAGCCCATGGAAGCTGCTACCTGCACCTTCTCCAACTAACACTCGTTCCTGATACTTTCCTTCCAGACACGACGAACCTGGCTTTCTTCCTAACACATCGCAGCAAAAGCTCATCTTGGCTTTGAAACTGGGGCAACCAGGGCTTTCTGCGGGCTCTCAAAATTTGATAAAATCTTCACACAAAACACCCTTTCAAATTTTTCCTCGTTTCCAGCCCCAAATTATTTTTCCAGATCAATCCTGGAGTCTCCCAACTTCTTTTGGCCACTTCTATCATCGAAGGAGCCAAGGTTGAGATCCAACCTGCCTAAATCACTGGATTTCTGTCCTTTCCCCAAATTGTTCAGCCCAACGCTCCTGAAAGCCTACACGTGTGTGCAAGACGTAGCTTGGTGCTTCCGTGTCCCCTATATTTTTAAATACCGAGAGGCGCACATTGCAGCTCATCTCTTTTTTCTAAACTTCTAATCCGGAAGGCTGAGAAGTCACACACACCACCGTGGGGGGGAAGCTGCTGTCCCGACCGGCAGAGTTGCATCTCCAAGATTGTGATCTGGGGGTCACGCAACCCACTTTTCAGAGGGTCCGTTAAAGACCGCGCAGATATTTGTGCAGCCTGGCTGCTTCGAACCGTGACTTCCTTTGTGGCTTGGCGAGTTGCGCTGACACACTGCTGCTCTCCCTGGATAAACTGTTGCATACAGAAGCCGTGAAGTGTGCAGATGTATTTTTTAGAAAATTAGAGGACAGGGAAATGAAATAAAAGGTTGGCATGATGTCACACGATTGTTTTCCAAAGGAGCAGTCCAACAAAACTGCCCCCTCCCCCGGCCAGTATTTTTGCACAACTTGCTCGAACGCAACCGGGGAAAGGAAAGCGGCCACTTGTTGCAAGAGGCGAAGACAAACAGAGCAGCCTTGGGTAGAGGTGGAGAACAGCCTAAAGGGGGGGGGGAGTCGGGCAGGGAAGTTGCTCAACTGGACTGAGCAGGTTTTGCTCCGCTCGCCAGCTGCTCCCTGCCCAGGAAAGGCCCGGCCCCTCGGCAGCCCATCGCGACACAAGCAGGCGGCCTACCCCCCCCCCCCCCCCAGCGGCTAGCCGGACAAATCGAAGGAGCAGCTCCCCGCTTCGGACCTGCAGCCTCCCCTCCCCTCCCGTCCACGGCGGGGCCCATCCGGAGCGGCCGGCCGGCCGTGGCTGCGCCCAGAGGGGCGATCGACCCGGCCTCCCGCACCTCGGGGCTCAAGCCTGGGAGGGGGGACCGGGAGTGCCTCTGAGCAAGTGCAGAGCGCCCTCGCCACACCGCTGCCTTCGCGGGGCTCCCCTTGGCCCCGGCCTTGGCTCGCTCGGCTCCGGGGAAAGGCGCGGTCGGGCAGCCCCTTCCCCGACGGCCCGCCCCGTCGTGCCCCGCCCGCCCACCGGCCCGCAGAAAGGCCGCGCGCCGCCGGTCGGGCGTCTCTGGTGCCGGGAGCGCATGGACTTCGAGGGGCGGCGGCTGCGCCAGGTGGGCGGCTTCGGGCGGCGGTCGCGCTTCCTGGCGGCCGCCTCGGGGCTGCCCAACGCGGGGCTGGCGCTGGGGCTGGCCGCGGGGCTGCTCCTGGCCGCCGTCCCGCCGCACCGCTGCCGCCCGGACCCCGCGCTGCTCCCCGCCGCCCTGCGCAACGCCAGCGGCCCGGAACTGCGTAACGCCTCGGCGCCGCCGGGCAGCCGCTGCCGGCTCTACCGCTATCCGCGGTCCGGAGGCGGCACCGGCCCGCCCAACGGCACCGGGCCCTGCACCCGCGGCTGGCAGTACACGCTGCCCGCGGCCGGGCTCCGCTCCACGCTGGTCACACAGGTGGGTCTGCCGCGCGGAGGACCCGCCGCCCTGCGGCTCCCTTCGCCGGGCCGGGCCGACGGGGCGAACCCCCGGCAGCTCCAGGCAGGCGGACCCTCGGCCGGCCTGGCTTGTCTCCGGCGGTGAGCTGCGGGAAAGCGGGGCGGGGGGAGCCCCGGCTGGGCTGCTGCCTTCCTGCTGACGGCCGCTTCTCCCGCAGTGGGACCTGGTGTGCGCCAAGCAGTGGCAGGTGCCGCTGGAACAGACCACCCACCTCTTGGGATGGCTGGTGGGCTACGCGGCCCTCGGGGCGGCCTGCGACAGGTAAGGCGGCTCCACTTCTCCAGGTGGCCTCTGGGCCGTTTGATCTTCTGGTCGGCCCCACCATGAGGACCGGCCGCTTGGCCATCTGCCATCATTGGGAAAGCAAAGGCTGTTTCTGTGCAGGCGTTGGCTTCTGTGGGTCTCCATGGGGCAGAGGCGGCGGCTGGCACCTGCCTGGGAGGTGCTACTTTCCAAGAAGAACTTGTTGTTTTCATCCCCACTTCATAAGATGATTCACAGGGCCATTGTAGCTCAGCAATACCGCCCGAGTCCCGTGTTTGCTTAAAAGCAAATTATTTCCTCCTGTTCTTAGCCAGCACTCTTGAGGTGAGGGACACTTGGCGGAAGGGAAAGCTCACTCATTCTACTGAAATTCTAGCCTGTAGTTGTGACCCTGGACCTCTGATGGCCGCTATGAGTCGGGAGGGGGCCGCCTACAGGCCTGAATGCAGACAAACCCCTGCAGCAAGTCTTGCAAGCTGCCTTCAGGAGCTGCAGAGCGGCTTGTCTTTCTGTGGGAACAAGGCCGCCCCAGGCAAGAAGGCTGGTCTTCACAAAGAGCTGCCAATTGGATAAGATGAACTTCTTTGGGATGACTTTGGCCGAGCTGCCCTCCTGAAGCCTTGCTCTAAAATGGACTTTGTGAAACCTGGCATTTGGGGGCACTCTCGGGCTCCCTGGGCTCTGGCCCTTCTGACGAGTGGGAGTTTGGCAGCCATCACGTTGGCCTCCAGTAACCACTGGGCAGTAATTTGTGTTGCTGTTTCAAACAGAGGCCAAGCAAGTTGCAGCCCTGAATTGTGCTCCCTTGTGACCTGGGACGGGAGCTGTTTCAGTGCAGTCAGGTGGGGGCCTCTTCTCCTCCCCCCCCCCCCATTCCGTGCTCCCTCTCTCCTCCAGATTTGGCCGTCGGACCACCTTCGTTCTTTCCTTGGTGCTGTCTGTCCTGCTGGGCTCCGGTGTGGCGCTGGCAGTGGATTACCTTATGCTGGTTGTGATGCGGATGCTCTTTGGGGCCGTGCTGGCAGGGGGCTTCCTCTCCCTCTACGTGGCACGTGAGTCATTTCTTGTCCTCCAGGACAGGCCCCAGCAGGTCCTCCTTGCTTCCAAAATAGCCCTTGCTTTAGCCCATCTGCCCAGGCCGAAAGCCCCCAATGGACTCTCCGGCCTTGGAACAAGGGGGCTTCAGCCAATGCCTCCGCGAGAAGGACAAACCCTGGTTGGGGCTTCCCTGGTGAGGAGCTGCTGCCTTGAAATGAAACTTCCTGGTGATCTGAGTGGCTTCCATGGGGGTTGGTGGAGGCCCCGCTTCTCCTGGGCACGTTTGGGAAGCAGGTGGCCCTCCGATGTTGCTGGACTACTTCATGTCCTCCCTCCCTGTTGGTTGCTGAAGCCGGAAGCTCAGATGCCCCCAGTGAGACTCGGTGCATTTCATGTCGGCCAAAGCAGCCCCACCGACTGGGCTCTTCTCCACCTTTCCCACTCATGCGCTCCCTCTGCTTCTCCTTAGGCCTGGAGTTGTGTGATCCCCCCCACCGCCTGACAGTCACGATGAGCGCCAGCTTCTTCTGGGTTGCTGGGCAGCTGATCCTGCCAGGACTGGCCGTGGCCGTTGCGGAGTGGCGGCTGCTCCAGGGGGCCATCACATTGGGGCTGACTCTGCTGGCTGCTTGCTGGTGGTGAGTGGTGTCTAGCTCTGGATGCTGAGAGGGTCTGTCTCCCCCATTGTCCCCCATTTGGGGCATTCACTCCTTCCTTCCTTGCTGCCTCCCCTCCTTTAGTGGATGCGCATAGAGGACTCACTTCTCTGACCAAGCTAAGAGCCCCAAACGCCGGACCCTCCAGTCCCGATTTCTCCCTCCCCAGGTCTCCCTCTCTCTTTCCCGAGTCAGCCCGGTGGCTCTTGGCCACTCAGCAGCTGCAGAGAGGCAAGCGGGCCCTGCTGGACCTGGCCAGGGGCAACGGAGTCAGCCTGGAAAATGACTCCGCAACAGGGGAGGCCTTCTTGGCAGGTGGGTCTGCCACTGGGCCTTGCAGGCACCTTCCGATGCTGCTGGTTGCAGCCGTGTGGGGGCTACCTGGATCCACAGACTGGGAGCCCCTGGGTGGAGTCCATCAGAGGTGGGGGGGCGGGGAAGCTCCCCTCGCTCACCAGAGGCCCTCTTGATTCTGCCTCTGGCCTCAGCTGACTGGCCAGCCAGGCTGCCTCCCCATTGGGCCTGGGATCCAGTTCTGCTTTTGTGCCCAGAGACGGACAGCCGGGCAGGAGGCGTCCCCAGAGCAGAGTACCACAGCGTCTGCCGGATCTTCAGCACACGAGTGGTATGGAAGAACAGCCTCATTCTTGGCTTCACTGCGTAAGTGCTCTTGGGAGGGGGCAAGTGTGGGTCTGGGCAGAGCCTCCTGCTCTTCCTCCCTCCTCTTCCTCACAAGCTGCACCGGGGACCCCCATGTGATACCTCCCTCTCGTTGGCCATCAGACATCGTGTGGACTTAGCTTCCTTCTCCACCAGGTTCATTGGGAGCGGCATCCGCCACTGTTTTGCCCGCAACTTGGTTCCGTATGCGCCCCGCTTTTACTTCCCCTACTTCCTGCTGGCGGGGAGCGAAGCGGTGGCCATCCTCTTCCTCTGCCTGACTGTGGATCACTTTGGCCGCCGGGCAGTCCTCCTCTTTGGCACCATCCTCACTGGGGTTTCCTCCCTGCTCCTCCTGGCCCTGATGCAGTGTAAGGAGACCCAGCTGCTGGGGGGCTTGGGGGCAAGTAGGAGAGGAACGGATCCTGCTCAAGGGTCCTGATTCTTGCGTTGCTGGGCCCCTGCGAGGGGCTTCCCTCTTCCCAGATCTGGACTTGTCCAGATTGAGTCACTTGGCTGGCTTGCCACTGAGGTTTGTGTTGCTGGAGATTTCCCTGCTAAGGGGATGTTTAGCCAGCCTCTCAACCAGCCCCCTTCGCTCCCCTAGATTTGATGGCCTGGCTTGTCTTGGCACTCTCCATCCTGGGCATTCTGGCATCTCAAGCTGTTGCTGCCCTCAGCATCTTCTTTGCCAGCGAGGTGCTGCCCACCGTGGTCAGGTGAGGAGGCATCAGGTGTCCCTGTGTTGGCAGACGGGCAGGGCTGGAGTCTGGCATTCAGCTTCGAGTGGGGTTGCAGCCTTGCCCAAAGGCCACCCTGGGCCAACTCCCAGCTGGCTCTCCCAGTGAGCCCAGCAGGCGGGGCAGCGTCTATGGGCTGACAAGGCTCTGCTCCTGGGGGGGACCCCTTGCGCTTGTGCCCGGAGTGGACAAGGTTGGGATCGGCCCCAAGCTGCCTTCACTCAGGTGATTTGTGCCGGTTCAGGGCTCCAGGTGGAAAGCCAGGGGCTCTGCCCAGGGGCCATGAGGGGCTTGTTGCTGGCAGGGTGGCAGAGCTGGGGCCGAGGAGGAAATGGCCCCCGGGGGCAGGGGCCTTGCTGCTCCCCAATGGGGCTGTTTTGCTTTGCAGGGGAGCCGGGCTGGGCCTCATCCTGGCTGCACACACACTGGGCCAGACGGCCACCCCGATCATGGACATCCAGCACAGCCGGGGGTTCTTCTTGCACCATGTGGTCTTCGCCTCCTTCGCCATCCTCTCGGTGCTCAGCGTGATGCTCCTCCCGGAGACCAGCCACAGGCCCCTGCCGGACTCCGTGCAGGAGGGGGAGAGCCTGCACCGGCCGCCGCTCTTCCACCCCACCCGCCGTCACTGCCGCCGCCAGGACCAGCTGCCACTGCTCTCCACCCACGGGGGGAGCAGCCCCTATGACCCCGAGAGCTACGCCCACCTGGTCACGGCCACCAAGAAGATGCTGGGCAGCCATGGGGGGGGCGCTGGTGCTGGGGGGCAAGGCAGCTCACTGACCCCAGAGACCTAAGGGCACGGCAGCACCCAGAGGAGAGGGCCCCCGGGCCCCACAGATGAAACATTTTCGGCCCCAGGGTCCTCCGGGGGCAGGAGGAACTGGGCAGCCTCTGGCCCTTTTTCTTGGGGAAAGAGTGACCCGGGATCACAGGGCCCCCCTTTTCTTTGTGGATATGCAATAAACCACATGCTGCCTTTGTAGTTCATTTTTCTTAGGGAGTTTTATTGTCAGCCCCCCCCCCAATCCTACCCTGTCTCCCCCCCCCCGAGACCTCCAAGCTCTCATTCTCCTGGCTGCAGCAGCATGAGCAGCTCTGCAGCCTTGGGCTGGGGTGAGGGGAGCACAGCCAGGTTTACCCACAGCCCACCGGAAGCCGCTTTTCTGGGCGGGCCTGATCGGTTCTATCGGGGGGGGGGCTGTTGCTCTAGATAGCGCCCTGGGAGGGGGGCATCCCCACTTGCCTCCTGCAAGGTTGCCAGTTCTTGCTTCTCCCCACTGGCTCTTCGGATCACAGGCAGGCTGAGGTTTTCTCACCCAGCTGCCCTCTTTCTTTAGGCCTAGTGACCCTCATGGCCCCTGGATGAGACTGTCGGGTCCCAGGGGAAACAAGGGGTTGCACAGGTGGTCCCGGGTCCCTGGAACTCCTCCAGCAGCCACCAGCAGAACCGGGAAGTGCCAGCAGAATCTCAGCTGGAGGCCTTGAAAGGCACCTCGGGTCTCTGCCCGCCCTTGGCTTCAGGGCACTGTCGAGCTGGAGACGGAGCTGCAGTTGGCAAGAGACTGGCTGGATGGGGGCCCTGCCCCCTGGGGTCCCCCACCTGCCGGCCAGGAGGGTGATGCTGCAGCCCAAGCCGGGTTGGTCCAGTCCGGCCCTGCTGCTCCTCCTGCCCCCTACTGGCCGTATAGCTCGGCCAGGCGCTGGAATCGTGGCCCCCATTCGCGGAGGTAACAGTAGTCCTGGTCTTCGTCTTCCAGGCTGGACAGGATGGAGCTCAGCGACCCGCCGGCCGAACACTCCCCCTCGTAGTCATAGATGAGGGCCGTGTCGTAGGGGGGGACGCTGGGGTCGCTGTCGGCTGCCTCCAGGCCCTACGCAGGAGACGGAGCAGGAATGAGCACAGAATTCCAGAGAAGGTAGAAAGGACCGGAGAGCTCTTGTAGTCCACCCCTCGCTCAAGGAGACCTGGCTTATACCATCCCCGTCAAAGGGATTGTCCAGTCCGTTCCTGAAAACCTCCAGTGACAAAGCACCGGCTGGTCACAAGGCAGATTTAAGAAAGGATGGGCGGGGGTCCCCCTGGCCCTCCTCCCTCCCTCCCTCCCTACCGGCCTTCTTGCCACCTTTCACCTCGTTGATGAAGTCCTCAATGTCGGACGGGCATCGCTGGGGGTGCTGGTACAAGGCACAGCTATGGGGGGCATCCCTCCGCCGAAGGGGCTTCCCCCGGGGAGTCGAGGGGCCAAAGAGATCAGGGTCACGCAGCTGGGAGAGATCGTAGGCGTCCTGTGGGCAGAGAAGGGATGCACAGCCATCATGACCCCATAGCTTAGAGGTGGGGAAGGGAACTGGCCCCACGGCAACCCCACTGGTCTCACCTGGTCCTCTTCGCCGCCCCCCTGCTCATCGTAGTTGAGGACATTGTCACGCATGTCGTCCTGCCAGGCGCCCAGCAGCCCCTTGCGCAGTGCCTGCCGGCGAGAGTGCTCCATCCCGGCCACCAGCAGCACCAGCACTGCCCAGAGAAGGCGGGTCAGAGGTCCCCGTGTCCACCACCCTCCCAGCACTCAAGGCAGCCAGCCACACCTGCCTCCTGCGCTGCCAGCTCTTCGTGTCCGCACACGTCCTCTCAGGACTGCCCTGCCCACGTCCGGGCAGCCTGGGAGAATGCAGCCGGCCAATGCAGCGCCCCCTCCCTGCCAAATTACATAAATCCACATCCCCCCCACACACATTGCTGCAGGAAAATGGGGAGGGGGCCTGGGGCACACAGGAGGGTATCTTATGTCTTCTTATTTGCAGCAGGAAAGTTCTTCAGCCCAGGGGAGATCCTGGTGATGGACAAATGTCCACCCCCCCCCAGGCCCAGAAATAGGGTATGCATCCTGTGGCTTTACAGATCCACCAACCTCCCAGCATTGACCCCCCCTGAACTTGGGGCAGATATCCGACTGTTCCCACTTCCTTTCTGGGCCACTGGGGATTGCAGACCCCCCCGCCTTCAGCTGCTGGGCAAGGGTCCCAATCCAGCATTCAGGCACTTACACAGGAGTAGGACAGCACTGCAGAGGATGGTCATCAAGGCGCCCAAACTGAGGCCTGCCGTGGCCCCCATGGCGGCAGCTTTGGGAGCACCACAGGTGCCCCACCGACTGCAGGCACAGACTGAGACATTCAGCAGCTGCTCTTGCACCTGTGGCGGGATGCCAGAGTCACTGACCAGCAGTGGCAGGATGTGAAGACCCTCGGACACATCCACGGGAGGCTGCAGCAACACGTGGGTGTCTGGAGTGGGTGAGGGGAGCAGGAAGGGGGGCATCAAGTTATTGGGAACTGGGAACTGGACTTTTCCGATGCTCAAAAAAAAAAAAAAAAGCCCGGGGCCTGTTCCATCGCAAAAGAGCTCAAAAAGTCACTTTTCAGCTAGTTTCAGATTTTTAGTCCTCGGATTCCCCCAGTTTGGTGTCCAGCAAAGTCGAGGCTGCCAGAAATCACCCCCACGCCCCCCAGTCCGGTGCCTGGCAGGCTCCAGCTGGACCAGAGGCCAACTCTCCCCACTGAAAGTTGCAAAGTAATGTGCTCTGTGGGGAGGAGCCTCTACCAGGACGTCCAGTCCAGCCCGCCCCAAAGCCTGGGTTAAGGTCCCTTCCCCCATCACACGTGGGACCCAGGAAACCCGATTACCATTGGGGTAGCTGAGAGTCCAGTTGTGGGCACTGCTGGGGCCAAGATGGAAGCGGAAGGGCCCTGCGTGGGGCGCCAAGTCCTCGTCAGTGGCGCTCAGGACCAAGCCAGCCCCTCCTCTGCACAGTGACCCCGTTGTGGGGAAGAGGGAGGGCGCATGGTCGTTGACCTCCAGCACCTCGATGGACAGGGTCCCAGTGGCCGTGAGGGGAGGGATCCCTGAGAGAGAGAAGCAGGCCTTGGGGGGTCTCTCCAGACAGAGGCAACTTCCACAGGACGAGGGGTGGGCTGAGCGCTTTTCCCAGCTTCCACTCTTTCGCCAATGGCTGCTCAAAGGGGAGCCCAGTCCTGGCCTTGCTAAGGACCCTCCCTGAGTCCGGACCAGCCTCAGCTGCTCCTTCTGAAATCGGTTAGCGGGATTTTTGACCAGGACTGAGTTGCCCTCTGAAGCCCCCTTTGCTTCTTCTCTCCCCATCCTCCCCTGCTCACCCCCTCACCATTATCAACTGCCAGGATCTGTGTGATGTACCAGCCGTCCAGGAAAGTTGACCGTGGGGGTACTTTCTGGCGGGCTTCCATCCGGCCCAATTCGGGGTCCACCTGCAGCCAGCTGGCCAACTCAGAGGCCTGCAGGTACCTGGAGAGAGGAGACGGGCTCAGGGGATGTGTACATGCACACCCTCCCCCCCCATGTGCAGGACTTCCTAAAGAGCAAAGAACGGAAAGCCCCCTCCCCAATTTGCCAGACCCTCTGGAAGGTTCCTCTGAGATCCCAGCTGCATCTGGAAAATGAGTGGGGTGCAGGGCTGATTCAGAGGCAGGGAAACACAACCCAGCAGGGACTCCTTAGAAATCATCCTGTGGATTTTTGCAGGGTTTGCTTTTAGGGATGGAGTTAATGAGGACTAGAGACTTCATTGTTACAACAAGAAGGAAACGAGGGTTGGGTTTGCTGGATTTTACCCTGAGTTCCAAACCCTGAGCACTGGCCGAGCACTGAACCTGTGCAGAATCTCCACCGGCCGTCTTGGATTTTGCTCACCTGAGCTGCTGAGCCTGCTGGGTGTCTGGGTCCCTGGCCCGGAAGAGGGTGATCTGGGTGCCAGCAGCTGCCCCTTCGTTCACCCTCCCCCTGCAGGGGTTGTCCAGGAAGAAGGGAGGCTCGTTGGCATCCATCACCTGGAGCTGCACCGTGGCCAAGGCGTGGGTGGCTTTGGGGGCGGAGGGGTGCAGGGGGCTTTGGTTCTGCACAGAGACCAGCAGCTCGTAACGGTTCTGCTCCTCGTAGTCCAGGGCCTGGCAAGTGGGGGAGACATGGGGAGGGGGGGCACCAGCTCTTCTGGGACGCTACTGTCAAACACACACACACACACACACACACACCTTGCACGGCTGAGCCTTGGCCTTTGCTCTGCCCCCCCCCCGTCCTGGTGCAGAGACCCCCAGCTCGCCTCTCCTGGCTCCAGGCAGTGTGGCTGCCCCCACCCCGCCATCTGCCGCAGAAGCCGTCTCAGAGAAGCTCTCCCGGCCTTCCTCTTCTCCCTGGAAGGCTGAGCCTGCTGTCATTCCGCTTCTGTCCGGAAAGCTTCAGACGGTTGCCGGCCCACCACATGGGGGGGGGGGTAGGAGGAGGGGAGGGGAGGAGAGGCTCAGCTAAAGTTGCAGGGTGAATCTTTTCTGGGCCCACATTGCCCCTGCGCCAGAGCAGAGCCTGGCTCTTCCTTACCTTGGCCAAAGAGATGACCCCCTCATTGGTCAGGGGGTCCGGGTGGATGGAGAAAGCTCCTCTGGGGTCCCCCTCCAGGATGGTGAACTTGGCCAGCCAGTTGGGAGAGCCCGTCTGGTCTTTGTCCTGCACTGTCACCCGCCCAACCTCCACGCCGGGCCGGTTCTCGGGGGCCTCCATGTGGAACTGCACAAGAAGGGGGGCAGGCTGACCAAACCACTGAGGAGCCCCCCCTTTCACCCTGCTCCTCCCCAGGGAAGAAGAGGGGTGGCTGAGGGTGACCCCACCAGCAGTGATGGGATCTTTTGGGTTCCCGTGGGGCAGCTAAAGGGGATTCTAACAGCTAGGGAAAAGGAGATTTACTCGCTAGCCAGCTCACCCACCCACCTTCTCCAGACTTGAGGGGTTTCAGGTGGGGCAGCAGCTGCTGTGTGACCCACAGAAAGGCAGAACTGAGTTGAACTCAGCCAAGCAGGAATTCTGCAGAGAGCTGCTCCTTCTCTGCCCAACCTCTGCTAGCAGGGTAAGATAAGACCTCGTTCACATGCGAGGGTGGGCCAGTCCAAGATTGGCCCCCTCCCCTTCATCCTATGATGCTGGGGGGTTCATGAACCTCGCCTTCTAAGCTCTTGGCCCACCTCCTGTGCCAGGGACCTTGCCCAGCAGTGCTTGAAGGGGGATGCCCAAGGGGTGGGGGGTGGGGATAACACTGCCTCTGCACCGTCTTTCTCCCCCCCCCCCAGGCGGAGGGGCTGCTCTCCCACCTCATCCAACGTGAATTCAGGGGGGTTATCATTGATGTCCTCCACGTAGATAACCGCTGTAGCTGTGGTGGTCAGGCCTTCTCCAGCCATGTCAGCCACTTGGAGTGTCAGGTTGTAACTGCCCGTCCCCTGCACAGGAGTGCCAGAAACTGGTAAATGCTCCAGGAGTTCACAATAATGTCCTGGGTTGTCAGCCAGCCGTGCGTGGGACCCCAGGGCCGTGCACTTCCTCAAGCTCCACTTTCTGACCACCTCTTCACTGAAATGACTGAACCAGTTTTGCAGATCAAATAAAAAGAAATGTCGGCTACAGATGCCTCAGGCTTCATCAACTAGATGTTTTAAATACTATTTTGTGCAGTCCTTAATAATAAAATAAATCCAAGTCTTGTTGCTAAAGATAAAACAATAATGCTCAGCAAACAATTTGATTGTCAACGCTGCTAACATTGGATGTTCTTGCTTTGACAACATATGAAGATGCAGCCTTTTTCTTTCTTATGCTTTACTCTTAGAATTAGATGATGCTGGGGGAGGAGGTGGAATGTGGTGGGAGTTAGTTAGACATAACAATATTGTACTAGTGTGTGAATTAAGAGCTTGAAATAAGAGATGATAAGAATTGGCGTGTAGCAGAACAGGAGGGAAAATCTGCATTTCAAACTAATTGGAGAATGTGATTTATGACTGCTAATTGAAGGAGGGAATTGTGCTTTGATACTATGTGCTCAGGGGAGGAGAATCCAGTTTTTGGCTTCAACTATGTTAGTGCCGAAGCTATGCTACTCCCATAAAGATTCTTTAAGGTAAACAATGCCTCGAAGTTCTTTGAAGAGTTTCATCTGTCGGAACCATGACATTGATTTTGTAAAATAATCAGAACATTTTATAACAATAATTCTGAAAGATTCTACAGTAGTTGAAATACTATAAGTTAGAAAGGAGGCACGGGCGTTGTAATTAGGAGACCTCTCTCTCTCTCTCTCTCTCTCTCCCCCCCCCTTTCCCATGGCCCTTTTCCTTTCATTTTGTGCCACTTTGTCCCTTAATTAGTGGCCAGAAGCTGCATCCGGACACCCAAGGGAGAAGTCCATACCTCGCGGTCCAGCCCTTCTCCGGCGATCTGAATTTCCCCAGAGAGCTCATTGATGGTGAACAGCTCCGCCCCTTCTGGGCCCAGGATGGAGAACCGGAGTGCTGCATTGTCTGTCTCGGGGTCGTCGGCATCTGTGGCTTCTGCCTTCAACACAAACGTCCCTGAAAAACACCGAGCATTTTTAGAGGCAGCCTGGGGCAATTTCTCTCATGGCTGAAACTTTTCTGGGGCCTCTTTGGAAACGCAATTGTTGCCCACAGCACAGAGTTTGCTCTGCCACGTGACCCAGCCCCACATGCTCAGGGGTCTGTAACTGTGGGAGAACCAAGAATGGGGGTCAGGATGATCACGTTTATCATTGTTGTATAATTAGTGCTTCCAAGGGCAGCCAGAAAGTGCACAGGTAGGGCTGCTTTCACGCACTCATGCAAATAATTAAATAGATGGTTTGGTGATTCAGGGCTACTTAACTAGGGAGATGCACCATGAAAATTAAATGCATCCCATTCCCGAACGAGAGCTGGCCCCTCGTCCTGGTCACCCAAAGTGAAGGCAAGGACAGGGCCTGTCTGGGCCAGGTCAAAGGGGAGCCGGTGCTGCAGGATCTGTTCTGCCCCTTGGAAGACGTTTGGCCATACCCAGGGGAAGGTCCGGGCTGCCCACCTGGCTCGGCCCCTTCCGCCACGTGCCCCGTGAAGATGTCCTGCTGGAAGAGTGGCCGGTTGTCGTTCTGGTCCAGGACGACGATCTCCAAGTCGGTGGGCTCTTCCAGAGGCACCCCGCCCAGGTCGAGGGCAAAAGCCTTGAGCTGGTGGTGGGGAGAACAGAAGGAGGCCCATCTCAACTGGGGAAGGCAGCCTCTGCTCCCCTAAGGGGCTCGGGACGGTTTATTGGGCAGGCGATGCAAAGTCTTGAGGGCTTGATGGAGGTGGGAGGACTTCCTGCCCCCACCCTTTGGATAGAACTGGGGGGGGAAAGGACCCAAACGTCTGGATGCTGAGCTGATCAGAGTCCAACCGCAGCTTCCTTACCCGAAAGCGATCATGTTTTTCCCGATCCAGCACGGTATTGAGGTAGATCTTGCCGCTCCGGTTATCGATGGAGAAGATATCCTTGGGGTCTTCATCAACCCCGGGGCCCTTAATGCTGTAGACTACCACCCCTGGCTGCTGCTTGTCTGACTTAATCTGCAGAGAGGGAGGCAGACTCCGGGGGGTGAGAAGGCCTCCCCGAAGCGCTTTCCCTCTCGCCCCCCCACCCACACCTGAAGCTGAATAAGGTCGAAATCCCACCAGGGTTGGGACAGCAGAAGCTCCTGAGTTGGACTATTGTCCAGGGACGACTCTGGCTGCATTTTCAGCCAGTTTTTCCAGCTGTTCCTACAGATGTCAAGAATGAACGTGGACTTGTGGCATGCTGAAGAAGGCCTAATGGGGAAATTCGGACTCCCCTCTAGAGTTCGATGGGGAATGGGATCCCCTGGAAATGTGGGCTCAGACGTCATGAGGCATGGGCAGCAGCAGACCCACAACCCCTGACCATCACATGGGTGGACATAAAGGAGGATTGTGCACACCCATCCCTCAAGGCGCTAATCCCCAAAGCATGCAAAACGGTGCCAATTTAGTGACTGCATTTGTGCTGCCTCTAAGCTTGCCTTTTCCTCCGTCTGCTTTGTCTCTAGAGGGGGAGAAAGTCCGGCCGCGGAGGACTGAGTGCCTAGCCTTGAGAAGCAGCCGGAGAAGGCCTGGGCAGTGGCCAGAGAGGGGCTCAGCGCTGGACTGAACAGTGGCTGTCCAGCCACTCCCTCCTCGAGTTAGAGGGGTGGCACAGCAGCAAAAGAAGAGCTGAGCTTTTTTTCCGCTGGTCCCGAATGCCCTTCCCTCCTCAAACTCTGCCTGCAAATCCCAGCTGCCTGTCTCTCTCCTGCCCACCTGGACCAGAAGGTGGGGCAGCCGTCGGTAGTTCTCAGGTAAGCTGATGGGGGGGATGACCCAGGCCCGCTTGACCCTCCTCAGGACGGCTTTCTCCCGTGGCTGCAGCTGCGGAACTGGATGCCTGCGAGAGGCCAGCCCTCTGGCACAACAGGCGTCCTGCTGGGAAGAAGAAGAAAAGGTGAGGCGGTCAAAAAAGTCAAGATGGCGGCCACGGCAGTACCCTTGAAGTACTGCCTGATTCTTATGTGTGTATTTGTGTGGGAACGGGGAAGGAGCGAGCTGGGTCAGCCTGGGTTGGCAGAAAATCAGAAGGAACCAGAGGCCTCTTGTCCTCCCAACACATTTGATTAACAAAAGGACGTTGATGCCTCGGACAGGTGCTGCCAGAGTCCCTGTGACTTTTTTCTGTTGCTGCTCTGTCACCCCCACCCTCTGCCCCACTGCAGGGATTAATCCCCACGTGCGGCACATTTGGCCAGCAGCTGCGCTCAGGGCTCACAAGCGAGGCTGCAGCGTCTCCTGGCTCAGACCAGGTAGGAGGCAGCGTTCCGCTGGGGAAGAGCTCATTCGTAAGGGCTGGAGGGTTATGCATCTTCCTTCTTTAAGGAGGCAAGTGCCTCTGGCAGGTTAAGAGTGATACACAGCCTGGAAGACCCGGAGAGTCCCTGATGGGGGTCCGGCTTCCTTCCCCCGTCTGGGGAAATACACTTTCCTTTTGTTAGGCACAGAAAAGCAGCATTTGGGGAAGAAAACAGATTGCAAGTTTGGCAGAGACAACGTTGCTTCAAGATGAGGCATTCTCAGCCCCCCTTCAGAGGCCAGGCAGGGGGGTCCAGCCAGGAAGCCCACCAAGGGCAGGGAGCCCAGGGCTGCTTCTCTTTCCTCCCCACCAGCCCTGCCTTGCGTGGGATTTCTCAGCCAAGCCTTATCCCAAGGGAGTGGCTGGGACTTCCGGCATTCCTTCCCTGACTTTGTCTCGGGAGAATTTGGCCTCTGGCCCTTTCCCACATGACGCTCCAGACTCTCAGTGACTCTCCGGCCGCAGCCGGGCTCGGAGCCTTCATTCGTTTCAAGATCCTGGTCATACCAGGGCTACTTCCTGCCCAAAATAGGTTTGTGAAACACGGCCTATAAGCCAATTTTAATTAAAAGCCATTACAATAATTTTGGAAGCCTGACCAAAGCATGAACTCTAAAACATTCCTCAAAATTCAGGGAGATCACCAGACTTTCAAGAGGCTGCCTAAAGCAGACATGGGAAAAATCTGATTTCATCCCATTTCCTGCGGCAGAGGCTGCAGCCAAGAAGAGCCTCTTCCTGCTGACCCCTAGCCTTGGGGACTGGCCGGAGGGCTCACGGGGGTGTCCTCCAAAGACAGCCTGAAAGAGTTTCGTACTTGGAGGGGCCTCTGCTGGTGTAAATGGCCCTCCAGGTCTTGGATCCCAGCCACTCCAGAACCCAGGTAATGTGCTCTGCGGATCGGCTGATCCTTCCCTCCGCACGGGAGCTTGGCAAAGCCTGGCAGGCGGGTCCCTTGGCTGAAAAGAGAGGCTTTGCAGGCTGCCCAGACTTCAGCCCCCACCCTGGGGCTACTCAAAGGGACCCGCCCTTCTCCCGGGCTTGGCCAGCTCTGAATTCCGCTCCAGCAGGTGGCTGAACAGATGCAGAAGCCGCTGGTGGAAGAATGCCGCCTCCCCACGAGGCCCAGACAGGGGGCAGGGCGCCCCTCCCCTCCCCTCCCCTCTCCTGCTGGGCATGCAGACAGCCTTCCCCAACCTGGCGCCCTTCTGAGCTGCTGGAGCTGCTGAGTTGATGGGAAGTGCAAGTCAGCAGATTAAGTCCCCCCCCCCCAGAAAACACGATTTAGAGGTGGGGGGGTCTTGCCAACTTGCACAGAAGTGGGTTAGCTTAAAATGGGGGGGGTGTTTCTACGAGCCACAGGACTGGCCAAGCTCAGCCCAGTTTAAGCCTCTGGGGGCAGACAAGAATTTGGGGGAGGGGAGATGAACTGTGCCCTTCCTTGGCCCGGCTTCCCTCCCGGCAATTTCCCCCTCAGTTAAACTTCACAGCAAAGCAGATCTAATGCAAGCCACATGGAGCCCACTCCCCACCCACCCCCCAGTCGAGGGCTCACATTCTTCCACTCCCAGCTGCCCCCCGCCCAGCATTCCAGGCTTGTGTTGTCTTGGGGCAGCTGGCAGAGGCGATGGGGGTGCCTCCTTCCCTCCCTGGGCAAAGAGCCAAAGGGCTGCCTAGCTAGGACAAACGCCAGCCATTTTGCCCCGTCTCCACCTCCGAAGGAGCAGCATCCTCACCCCACAGAGGACGGGTGGGGAAGAGAAACTCCTGAGGCTTTTGGGCAGAGTTGGGTTCCCTCTCATTTTTAAAGCCTCTTCGCCCCCCCCCCCCGATGCAGGGAAGCCCAGTGGGGTGGGGAGCCCTCCGTGTGGTACTCAGAAGCTAGAAAGACAGGATGGGCTGAAGCCTGTGGCTGCTTGATTTCGTTACCTTCCAGCTTTCCTGCCTGGGGGAGAGATCCAGGGCCCCTGGCATCGGCCCCCTTTCCAGACTTTAAGCCAAGGTTCATGGAAAGCCCTTCTGACATGGGCCAGATCTGGTGAGCCAACACAAAGGCCTTTTGCAAGACTGCCCTCCTGGCCCAGTGCAGATTCTGCCTCTTGGGTCACCACAAAGCCAGAAGGGGCTCCCTCTGGGCCGGGCAGGACCCTGGCAACGGGCACTTGCCCAGCTCCTCCTGTGGGTGCTTCTCTCCCACAGATCAACCCCAAGAGCCTGAGGGGACACCAAGACTCTCTCCAAACAATTTAAGGATGAGGGGGGGCACCAAGCCTGGTCACCATCGCATGTCCTGCAGCATGGTCTCTGTAGTCCAAAGCAGGAGCTGCTGAGGATTCCCTTCCCACAGCAGAAGAAAATGCTCCAGCTGCTGCTAGGAGCTGCCCCCCCCCAACAATGGATTTTGAACTGGAGTGGGAGGAACTGCGGACTCTCCACTGGAAGCCCCTCTGGCCTCCACCAGCAGATCCTTGGCTGGATCCCTTCTGACAGCTGGGAGAGCCACCCTCCTTCCCTTCCTTCCTTCTTCTTAAGAGGTCTCCTGGGAAGGGAGTGGGGCTGCAGGGCCCCAAAAGAAGCCAGACACACTGAGCCCCAGCGAGGAAGGACCTCAGCCCCACCTCGCCTGGCTTACCTGAGCTGCGAAGGTGGCCAGGAGGCAGGAGCTGAGCCAGAAGAGGGGGACCATCTTGGGGGGCACCTAGCCAGCTGTTGCTGGAGCCTCTGCCTGCTTTCCTCTCTCCAAGGGGGCTGAGGCGGCTCAGCCTGGGACAGGAGCTAAAATAGCCTCGGCCGGCCGGCTGTGACAGACAGCACATGTGTTGGGGCCAGTCCAGAGGCTGGGAGAAAAGGGCCGGATGGGCTGAGCTGAGGGGGTGGGTGGGTGGGCAGGGTGTCCAGGGGGAGAACAGCCATTCCAAAGAGAAGCCGAAGAGGAAGGAAGGCTAGTTCTGGGCAGGAGCAGTGGTGGGATTCAGCCGGTTCGCACCAGTTCGGCAGAACCGGTAGCTAATTTTTTGTTGCCCAGGCACAGAATGGACTTCTGGAAGCAGCATCCACACAGAGAACCAGTTGCTCACATATTTGAATCCACCACTGGGCAGGAGTGAACAAAACCCTCAACTAGAAATTATTCTTCTAGTAAATTATGGAACTAAACTTTTATTTGCTATTTAATATTTGTTGCATAAGGAGACATCCTTAGTTTTCTAGTCTTTTTTAAGATGAGCTCAGCGTCGGGTGATTTTTGTCAACATGTCCTTCTAGTTTTATTGCCAGTGTTACGAAAATGTTTCCCACTGTCTTTTTTCAGGATTTTTAAAGCCCCTCAAGTCCCTCTGCCAGACCAGAAGCTCCTCAACGACTGAGGACCAACCAGGAGCTCTTTAAGGGAGGGGCACTACCTTCCTCTCCCCACGGAGGGCACCCCACACTCTGCCCTGGCAGGCGGAGCAGCAGCTGCTGCCACCTCTGTTGGCTCTGAAGCAGTTGGCAGTTCTGGTGCGTGTGTGTGTGTGTGTGTGTGTGTGTGTGTGTGTGTGCGAGAGAGAGAGAGAGAGAGGGGGGGGGGGGGGGGGGGGGGGGGGGGGGGGGGGGGGGGGGGGGGGGGGGGGGGGGGGGGGGGGGGGGGGGGGGGGAGAGATCTGGCAGAGCTGCAGCACCAGCTGGGCACAGGTGCTCCTGCCCAGAACGGCCCGAGTCTCTTCCCATGGAGGGAGCCCGCTGTGTTGGCAACCCTGCTTTGCTTCCTCTTCAGAGTCCTTCCACGGCTGAGGAGAGCGGCGTCAGGATCGGTAGGGCCGCGAGGGCAGCACCCGGGCCGGGTCTCCTGACTCGTGGGGCCCTCCGGCTTCAGAGCTTCGAGCCCCGCGAAGGAGCATCGGCTGCCCTAGCGGTGCGCAAGCGGGCCTCGGTAATGCTGCGCGGCGGCCAGCAGGGGGAGCCCCAGCACTGGCAAAGAGCTGAGAAGCCCCGTTGCCTCGCCTCCCGCGCGGAGGGAGAAGGGCCCTTCACACGACGCGGAAGCCTCCGTGCAGCTTTCTCTGGAGCGATGGGGGGGGGGGGGTTGCCAGGGCCTCCTTCGGGCTTTCTTTTTCCCACCTCCCAGTGCAGCTGACGTTGCTGGAGGAGCATGTTCAGGTGCCCAGATCCGATACAGCAAATTAAGTGATAGGAGTGTTCCAGTATCTCAGGGGCTGCCCCAAAGAAGAGGGAGTCAAGCTATTCTCCAAAGCACTAGAAAGCAGGACAAGAAGCAACGGATGGAAACTAATCAAGGAGAGAAGCAACCTAGAACTCAGGAGAAACTTCCTGACAGTGAGAACAATTAACCAGTGGAACAACCTGCCTCCAGAAGCGGTGAATGCTCCAACACTGGAAGTTTTCAATAAGTTTTTGCCTGAAATGGCTGTAGGTTTTCCTGCTGAGCAGGGGGCTGGACTAGAAGACCGCCAAGGTCCCTTCCAACTCTGTTATTCTGTTAAGTAGCTGCTGTGACCCAGCCTGGCTTCCTTAAAGGGAGAGATTTGGCCAGGAAAGTTCAGATTGTGGGGAGACATTTCTCTGTCACTCACTTCTGGCATGGGACCCAGAAGGACCCAAGGGGACCAAGTGACTCCTTCCGCATGTGGACCCATGAGGAAGGGGTGGGCTCTTGGCCAAAGTGGCCAATCCGCTTTCAAGGCCACTGGCTGATTCCAGCTGTCGCTTCTGATATCGTCTCGTGGAACCGCTGCTCTGTCCTGGCTGGCTCCTGGCCACACTGCCCTGTCGCCCCACATCAGCGCCCAGCCTTGACGGGATCTGAAGTGCAAGAAGAGAGCCAGACGAACAGGAGGCATATGGGAAGGGCTCCCAGGGGGCTCCGTGACATTCCTCGGCCCAGAGAGGGTCAAGCTCTCCGCCGTCCTGAAGGCTCCTTTGGAAAGTCCTTCTGGGGACGCGCGTTGCATTGCCAGGCAGAAGCCGCTCCGGAAGGACAGGCAGCCGCCGAGCTCTGAATCCTGACTGCGTTTTCAGCCACCGAAGGAAGGGCGGCACCCTTCCCTTCCGAGGCTCTTCCGTACAGGCGCGAGGGCCACTTCGTGAAGCAGGAGTTGCATTCAGCAATTGCACAAGGAAAAATGCTTCCTTTGGCCATCTTGAATTTCCTGCAGATCAGCTTCATGGAATCACTGAGCCACAAGCAGGGAGAAAGAGTTATATGTCCCTTTTTTCTGCATCCCAAATAATTTCACAGGCTTCTGCGCGTCCAGCCCCTTCCTTTGTTTTTCCGGCTTGGCGTTCTCTCTTCAGGAGGCCTTGGAACCGGAAAGCAAGCCAAGCCCCATCTTCGGTCTGGTGATGGGGCAGAGGGTGGACTGGGCGCAAAAAGTCACTTGGCTTGAATCGGCCCAGCAGCTCCTGATCCCCTGCCTTGGTGGCCTGCAAGACGTTGAAATCCTGGGGCTGGAGGGGGGGCTTCCACCTCGGCTGCCTTTCTGTCTGGCAGCCCCTTGTCAGCCGCCTCTGCCTGACCTGATGCGGTGTGGCAGGGGTGCAGCCAGCAGATGCTCCCTGCCATTGTCCCCCGGGTGAAGTGGGTCAGGCTGGGCTGGCGACTTGAGAGACGGAGGGGGAGATCCTCCTTGACGGGGGGCGATGGGGGCCGCGCGTGTTTTTCTGCCGTGGCCTCTGGCTCAGGTGCTGGGGAGACCCGCTTAGCTGGCCGGTTCCTTCCCTAAAAGCCAGAAGCTGGAGCCTGTCACTCTCCTCAGCGTCAAAGGAGGCCAAGGACTTGCCAGTCACCCTGCTGGCAGGCTGGACAGAAGGACAGGGAGGGGTTGTGCACACACACACCACATACACACAGGTACAATCTTGCCCTCTGCTTCATAGAGGACTAGCATAGTTTGGAGGGAAGGAGACGTGTGTTGTGCTGTGCCTTACCTTACAACAGCACAGAGGGGGGCTTGGCCAGGGAAGTCCTCTGACAGACAGACGTGGCCAGAGACCTCCCTGGTGGATACCAGGTTGGCAACGTCCACCTGGAGACCCTCCTGGACAGGACAAGTGGCGCTGGAGCACCACAAGGGAGAAGGAAGGGGGGGCAGAGAGCGGCATGAGACCCCTTCACTGCTGAGAGAGGAGGCAGCACTTGTGTGGTGCCAAGGCCACCCCCTTGAGTGGAGAGAGCACTTGGCTTGGGCCCCTCCTCCACCCTCCAGCAGAACCAAAGCAGGCTGCACCCACCCCTGCTGCACCCCCCTCGTTTTTTCCTGCCAGGCAGCAGCCCTGCTGTGGGATGCAGCGATAAAGGGCACCGAAGCTTAGGATTTTATACAGCAATAAAAGATAATGTCCGCCATAAAGAGTGTGGGCATTGCCCAGCCCTGGAGGAGCAGGAGCGTGGGAGGGGTGGGACGTGCTTCCTCCCCCGCTGCAGGCAGAGAGGCCAGGAGCAGCTGGTGGGGGGGGGGCAATGGACCAGAGCCCAGGCAAGGTGCTATGGGCAGAGGCAGTGGGGACAGGATCACACCCAAAGCCTATTCCCTCCCTCCTCCCAAGCAATTCCTAATTCTAATGGCTGCCTCTGGGCAGAATGTGCACTGACACTGCCTGGGAATCGCCTGCACCAAGGTGGGCAAAGATGGCTGCAGTGGGAGCCCTTCCAGTGCCAGCAAGGAGCCTCACCGGCCAGCATCCAGCTTGGGCGGCTGCTCTGTTGGCACGGAGGTGCAGAGCCCTGGAAAAGCCCCCCCCCAAGAAGGCTTTCTTGGCGCAGCACTTCAGAAACACAACCCAGCTCTGTCTCCTCTTTCTTCCGCTTGTGACAACTCTGCAGAGACGCAGATCAGGCTGGGGCTGGTGCTTGCAAGGTGGGGGGGGGTTCCTGCTCCTTTGTAAGGTGTCCTTCCAAGCAGCCCCCCAGCAAGAAGCCGGAGCTGCCGCCCCTAGAGAAGGCCACCCCACCTCCAGGGCAGGAGTCCTTGCTCTGTTGGCTGAGTGATTTTGAGATGGCCCCCCTGAGCCAATGAGGCTGCCACCCCACCTCTTTCCAATCCACGGCAGGGGACAATGGCAAAATAGCAACCTCAAAACCAGGCCTGTAGGAGGGCTTTCTCCTTCATGATAACTGGCTCAGTCAGTGGCCGAAGGGCACCGCTCCTTTGGTCATCCTGCCCCACACAGCTCCCCCCCCCGAAGGACTCCCCCACTTGCCCCCACAGAAGCCTCCTCCAGCCACTTCAGGCGTCCCTGCTGTGAGAGGAGCCACAGCAGAGAGAAAAAGCAGCCGGGGCCCAGCAGGAATTTTCTGCAACTTTGCAGGTCTTACTGTTTTTCCTTGGGGGATCTTGAGCGGTGTTGGTGTTAACGTGATGCCAATGTGAAGTTTGGTAATTTCCCCTTTTACAGGCTTAGAAAAACGGATAACTTGCAAAAGGAACAGAAAAGCAAGCAGACCCTCCCACCCCCGGCCAAATGCCAGGCAGGAAGGCCCCAAATCCAGTGAAGTCAGAGCAGCCCACAATCCCCCTCCCAAGCTGCTCGCACCTCCATGGGTGCAATCTTGGGCAAGGCACAGGGTGGATTTGTATGCAGGCAACCCTCATCGCAGGTTGCATATATTAGCTAACGTGTTTACTCTCAGCGGTGGCTTCACAATACACCAACCCTCCTATCTGGATAAACACAATATCACGGCTATATTTGTGTAACATGCTTTTCCCAAGCAAATCAGTTCCCTGATGACTTAAAACACACAGGAGGCTGAGGCAATGGCTGGATTTAAGCTGAACAGGTATGGCCCACCCTACTTCACTTGGACATTTGGACAGGCCTCTATTGCAGGTGTGCATAGTAACAACATCTTGAAAACCTACCAGCGCAGTTCTCCAGAGTGGTGTTTCTCAACCTTGGCAACTTTAAGCTCTATTGACTTCAATTCCCAGAATTCTGGGAGTTGAAGTCATACTGTACATCTTAGCGTTCTCAAGATTGAGAAACACTGCTCTAGATCAACTTATACCTAGCTTAAATAAGTGGATAATACTCCTTGGGACTAAGGAATCTTTTCTATAATGATCCATCTTCTTTCCGTAAGGGACTCCCTCCTCCATGTTCCCAGGGACTGTCAGACATTCTTTTACAGCCAGTGACTAGTAGCATCCCCACAGCATCGCCAGCTATTGTGGCCATGATAGAAGGCCCATCCTCTTGATTATTTAGGCACGGTGATGGTTGGAGGACCCCAGAAGATATGAGAAGCCACCAGTGGGGAAAGGAGTCTCCTCCAGTGTGCTGTGTGAACCAGCCCTTTTGCCACCTACGGTACCAGGCTCTGGATCCATCCAGAACAGCCACCAAGTCCTCTCCTTCCAAGGGCCAGATGGGGGCCTGTCTCCCAAGCCTTCCCTTTGCTCTTCCTTGGTCCTAAGAAGCTGCTTCAAGAAGTGGATCCACTTTGGCCCGATCATGCTCTGCTCTTCCTGGCCACCTGCGAGTTATACGGTGGCTTTCAAGCTGCAGGGCCATAGCATCAACACTACCAAGCCAGGCTAGGTCCGTCTTTCCTCTTCCACGCTCTTGAAGACGACCCAGGCACCCTCCAGCCACACTTGACCTGGCTTTTAATGCTGGATCACATAGCCTCCGTTCGCCCTGGGTTGGTCTTTCAGCCACAGGATGCTGAGCTGGAGGGCTTCGTTCAGCTGCCACCTGGGTCCACCGGCTGATGCTGACACGGAACCTGCTCTGAAATGGGACAGCTTGCTAACTCGGGTGGCTTTCATCTTCACGGAGGGCATCCTGGTCAAGGCTGTGAGTTGGAAAACACAGCTTCCTTCTGCTGGGGGGGCAGCCTGTGTTCCCAGATCAGTTGCAGGGGAAAACAGGGTGCACTGTGTCTCCCCCTTTTGCCAGCTGGTTGGCCCCTGGGGGAAGTGCATCCTGGGCTACGGTGGGCCTTGGCCTGGCCCAGCAGGCAGTGCCCTCGACCCCCTCGAGGGACCCGTCAGGCAGAGACGCCGGTGCCAAAGTCAAACGTTCCTGACTGGCCCCCGAATGGCTCTTAAGGTCCCCGGGGCGGCTGGCAGAGCCCCTCCCTGACTGACTTCCATTCCTCAGCCAGGCGTGACAGGCAGCTGTTTCCCTGTCTTTGCTACCTGCGCTCATCCATCAAGCCCATCGATCGGCCCTGGCGGAGTTTTATTAATGGCCCTGTCAGTGGGCGGGTGCCGAAGAGCAGGGGCTTGGCGGGAGTGATGGATCGGGGAGAGTGCCGGCTGCTATTTATTCTCCCGTGACCTTGTCTCTCCCCATTGTGGCTGGCTTAAGAGTTATGAATGTGAGACATGATAATTTGATATTGATCTATACGGTAAGTGAAAAAATTTACTGTGTGCTGATGTTTTAACAAAGGGGATGCCTCCATCCTTCCCACAGGGTGGGGGGACGGCATGCAAGCCTTCTTCCTGCCATCTGCCTCCCCCCTGGATGATTTGGGGGGAGGAGAGATGTTGAATTTCCTCCCGTTTTCACAAGTAAACCCTATGTATGTCCTTCTTACCCTCCTGTCCCCCAGACCCCAACTTCCACAATTCCTTGCCTGCCTCCAGGACACCTGCAGGGGGTTAGGAGGAAGGATGCAGGACCAAGAAGAGGGAGGACAACTGAGCTTGGTAACAGAGGTGGGGCTTCCCTTCCACCTCCAGATTTTCAAAAAATAGGCATCCTGGGAATTTTTACTTTTAAATGTCTTTTGGAACTGCCATTGCCTCGCTTGCATTGCGTGCAAGACGCACCCCAGACGTCTTCTGCTATCACTCCTGGGATGCCCCCGGTCATCCTGGCCAGCACAGTTCAAAGGATGGCATCTAACCATCCACCGTTGGCTGGGAAGGTCCCAAAGGATTCTTTCTGGGAAGCCGCCTCTGAGGAAGGCAGAGAGAGAGAGAGGGAGATGATAGAGAGAGAGAGACAGACAGACAGACAGACAGAGAGAGAGAGAGAGAGAGAGAGAGAGAGAGAGAGAGAGAGAGAGAGAGAGAGGGAGATGATAGATAGAGAGATGATAGATAGATAGATAGAGAGGGAGGGAGGGAGGGAGAGGGAAAGAGAGAGGGAGATGATAGACAGAGAGAGATGATAAAAATGATAGAAAGGGGGGAGGGAGGGAGGGAGGGATGATAGAGAGTTGATAGACAGAGAGAGAGAGAGAAATGATAGATAGATAGATAGATAGATAGATGATAGAGATGATAGACAGACAGATAGAGCTAGAGAGAGAAAGAGATGATGCGCCTGCATTGTTAAGGAAGGCTGGCCTTTATTTGTTCTTCCCTAATAATCACTTCCTTCCCTCCACAGGGCTGTATCTGTAGCCAAACAGGAGGAGGGGGTGCTGAACCGTGCAAAAGGACAGATCGCAATTTGCAATTTACGGAGGGTTATTAACTGTCCTTGTGCTGAGATTACATTCCTCTAATGAAGGCCTCTTTTACTGCGCCATAAAAATTGAGTGTGTCCCATGCATTGGGGGGCAGGGGGAATTCTTCGGAAAAAGAGAATGCTGCGGTGAAGAAAAACAGAAAAATGCTGGTGGGCAAAAGCCATGGAGGAGGCCAACCCAGGATACTGAATGAATGTGCCAGGTCGTGTGAAAGCAGAAATGTCTTCCCTGGCACCAGCCACACACAAGGAAAAGGGGACCAAGGGCACAGCGGTTGATGCCAAGTGGGAAACGGAGCCCAAGTCCCTGTGGAGGAGGCCTCTCCTGAGCATCACACCAACCGTGACCCTCGGAATCCCCCCCACTTGGCAGCAAAGCTGCTCCACGAGGCCTTTGGGGAGGTCCCTTGGCCGGGAAAGTAGGACTGCCAGAGTGCCTGATCAGGCAACACCCGGAAAGCAGAAGGAAAAAAGCTGGAAAAGAACCCACAATCTTCTCCAGCTAACGGGAAAGGGATGATTTTGCTTAAGGACCGAAGCAGCCTTTCTCAGGGGAAGGAGCTTTTTTCAGTGAAAAGGGGCCCAGCCTTGTCTTAAGAATGCACATCCCAGTTTGCCAAATTAGTGGGGTTCTTCCTATTCTCAACTGCAAATATCTGAGAAGAAATGGCACCTGCTATGCAGACGTGCCTCTCTCCCTCGGCCTTGGCTAAGCAGGAGCACAGACGGAGGAATGTCTGCAACTGAGGCATTCTTCAGATTCCCTGGATGTTCTGATGCAGCCTTTTGGCTACAAAATACAGAATGAGAACCACAGGAGTGAAGATGCTTAGAAATTACTTACTGAGAAATACATTCAAGAAAAGAAATGTAAATATAAATTTAATACGGATTTTTAAAAAGCCAGAGTTGTGCAGAAACAGCATGGAAGGGGGGTGAGATGACATGAACGGACATGAATTCAGTTTTGACCAACTTGTCTTCTTGACACGCACAACTCCGCATCGGATTCCTTGGCTCCACGGGGGCATTTGGTTGAGGGAAGAAAAGGACCAGGCCTGTGTTTCCCCATCTTTTGTAAGAGCGCCAAAGGATGAGGAGGGGCGAGGTACCTGCCTGTGCTCAGATGATATTCGTGGCCCTTTTGCACTTCGGCTGAGCCAAGGGAAGGCCCTGCCCAGGGAGGCCGTGGCTTCTGTCCAAACACCTCCCGCAGGGCCACAGGCACGCCAGGACCTCTTCCCCCCTCCCCCAGCAGAGCTCCTGTTTTAGGTAGGCTGAACTTTCTGCCAGTGCAAAGCCTGATAAGCCGCTAATAAGCCACAGGTCCCGTTCAGCCCTCCAGGTGACGAGCTAAAGGCAAGTCAACCCACAAGGACCGGATCCATTTTTGAAAGCAGAGTCTCCAGTCCTGCTCTTCGACCACAGACATCCTTCTTCCACCCACCACAGGTGGAGGCTTTCACAACGTGCCGTAGAATTGTTTGAGGAGCTGCTTCTTATCCACCTTGCCCATTTGGTTGCGTGGAACTTCCTCCACCAGGAGCAGCTCGGAAGGGATGGTGTAAGCTGGCATGGTCTCCCTGGGCACAGAAGAGCCTGTTGGTTAACAAAGAGGCGGCAGCAACTCCCCGCCTCCTCCCTCCTGGGACGCACCAGCCCTCCAGTGCAGCCTCAAAGAAAAGAGGAGGCAGATGGTTCAGGAAAGACAATGGAAAGAGCTGGCTGTCTCGGAGTCCTCCGGCTTCTGCTTCTGGCGCCCCAACTTACCTTGCCCATTTCTTGAGGGTCTGGAGAGACAAATCCTGGCCCTTGTGGAGTTCTACCACAGCGCTGACCTTCTGGCCCCAGACAATGTCTGGGGCACCGATCACGGCAACATCTGCAGGAAAAGAGGATGGAGAACAAGCGTGTTGGGAAAGGGGCAGGAGCAACTCTTTCTACAAGAGATCTTTGACTCGCAAACTTCAAATTATTGACTTCAAATTATTCATTTAGTGGGGTTAAACTAATCTTAGGGACAGGCGGCAGATGGCTGGAGCTGATTTCATTTGCCTTAACTTGTACATGCAAGCTGCGCTTTTATTCATCTGTCCAGTCTTTATTTAACTTTATGATCTTTTTCTTCATGGCTTTTGAAAGAGAGCACTCCACCTTTTTGTCCTGGAGAATGGGCCGGTAGAAAGAAAACCAAATTTTGCAGCTTCTTGGTAAAATGCCATGTACATAATTAGCACTTCATTAATCAACAGCAAAATGGCAGAGCGCAGACAGCACCTGCAATGCTAGGGTGGGCCAGCAGGTGGCGCTCGACTTCCAGAGCGCTGATCTTGTAACCTCCGCTTTTGATGATGTCCACCGAGGTGCGTCCCCTGATCCAGTAGGTGCCTTCCTGATACACAGCGGTATCACCTGGGAAAAGAAAAGCAGAGGGCTGAGATGGGCACAGCTTCTCGGGACGGGGCCAAGGAACAGCCTGCAGCCTCCCAGAACCTGGGTGCCAGAGCCAAGGCGTCCTTGCCGGACGTAGAGCTCCGACGTAGAGGCCCTCCTGGCTGGCCTTAATCCTGCCCCAACGTCATCTACAGGACCCTCTGCAAAGACTTTCAGTGCCACCTTCCCAGGGCAGCCCCTGCCTCAGTGGCCATCTCCTCCCACGCATTTGTGCAGGCTTCCATTCTCCTCCAGTTCAGCCTGCTTGGCCCTTGGGATCCAAGGGGGGTGGGGGCTTTGCTGCCATCAGAGTGGTGGGCCGGAGGCTTCCTGCTTCAATCCTGCTTCCTGTTTTTGCAGGTATAATTATGGGCTATGGAGTGCAATCTACACAGCTGATGGAAGGCGCCCTGGGGATGGAATGCCCTTCTCTGGAAGGTTTCCTGCCTCGCTTGGCTTGATGGGCTGAGAATGCCACAATGAGGGGACACAAAGACCAGAGCAGAGAGTCACTCCCCCATCCCTCCATCAGCCACAGAACTGCTCTCCTCCCAAGCACCGTCCTTTGGGGGCTCCTGCTGAGATGGAAGCCGGACGCCTGTCGGTCCTTTTCAGATCTCCTTGGTTTGAAGGACCAAAGGCTGCTTCCACATCCGGACTTCTCCTCCCTTTGACAAGGGCATGTTCCCTGGCAGAAGCCCCCCACCCCCAGAGAGGAATATTCTGACATGGAAGACCCCTTAGAAGCTCTTCTCTGAAGCTAACCACAGCTGCGACAACTCTTGGGGCTTCATCGATTGGGGAACGACAAAGAACTGGCAGGCAGCAGCTGATGGAGCTGGCCAGATGCCACCTAAGGGGTGCAGAACACACACCTAAAAACCTCAGGCAGGAGCAAAATAGCAGGTGGACCCATTTAATCCAATCTTTTCTGGATGACCAACAACAGGACAACGGAAGAGGGTGTCACTCAATCACCTTGGAGCTCCAGGAGGAAATATTTTTCAGATCTTTTTCCTGCTAAATCTAACCAAATCCCAGGAAATTTTCCCTGCCACCCACTTGCCGGGTTCCCCAAACCCCACAGAGCAAATAAATGGCTTTCTCTTGAAAGGGAGATTTTCATTTCTGGAAAACAGGTGCTGGAAGGGCGAAGATGGGGGTGGGAAAGGATGGCAAACAATTAGAGGGAGGGAGATTAATGAGGGGTGGGGGGGAATGGCTGTCCCCACCACAGTCAGGCAAAAGAAGTTACGGCATTGGAGGATTGTGGTGTGTGTGTGTGTGTTGTGGACATAAACCTCCCCACACTCCCCAAACGAAAACTCCATCGATAGTTCCCCATCTGCTCACATATATCACATACTTCATTCCAGTTTATTAGCTGGAATAAATCATAAATATTTCATTATACATCAATGGTGCCTGACTCCGGGAAGGCACAATCTATCACCCCGATGCTCCCCGTGACCCGCCACTGCGCATTAAGCTTTCCAGTCTATTAAACAAGATTGATACAGAGCGCTGGATGGACTGGGGGAATGTGTTTATAACACACGGGGGGAAGGGGGGGCTGGAGCAAAGAAAGATCTCGTGGAGAGGGGGCTCCCAATTCAGTCGCTTGCCAAAGTCAAGGAGACAAAAGCCCCCCCAAGTGCCACCAGAGAGGAGCGCCATCTTGTCCAGACCATCCAAGTGCCCCCAGAGCCCTTGAGGGTCACTCAAGATGTAGGGCAGGGGTCTTCAAACTTGGCCCTTTTATGACTTGTGGATTTTAACTCCCAGAATTCCTCAGTCAGGCACACTGGCTGAGGAATTCTGGGAGTTGAAGTCCACAAGTCATAAAAGGGCCCAAGTTTGAAGACCCCTGGATTAAAGGGCCAAAGGAATGAAGGGAAGAAGACGACAGCTGCAGTGGTGAACTGATACACACACACAGACGCAAAAACAGACACACAAAGCCTTCTGCTGGATATGGGTACTGGCACCCCATTTTTCCTTGGAGAGAAGTGGATCGTGCGAGCCTGCTGGAGCAGATCCAGCCCAGCCTGTCCGCCCTTGCCTTCTGGTCATGGACAGGCCCTCCGGGGCCTCTGTGTGCTGCGCAGAGCCTGCCGTTGGAAGCCAAAGGCCTCTGGGCAGGGCATCCTGCAAGCACCCAGCGCCCACCCCCGAGCCTCTCCCAGCCTGGCACCGAAAGAGCTCCAGAGCACAGCGGGGATGCTGCAAAGAAGCAAGGGGGTCATTAGAAAGGGGGAATCTCTCTCCTTTCCTCCCCTCCCGTTAGCATTTAAGTATTTATAGGCAGCGCTGCAGATGGCGAGAAGGGAAGGGAAGGGAGCCCACTGTGCCTCTCGGCAGCTTGAGAGGCTGAATCCTGGCTGTAAGTAATTGGAATAACCAAGAGGCTGGAGTTAACCCCCCACCCCCACCCCATGCTCTGCGCCTCTCCTTCGCAGAACAGCCCTGGGATCAATTACACACCAGGCAAAAGCCAGCAACAGCCGCCTGCCCCCTTTCCCTGGGGGGGGGCACCTTCCTGGGAATCTTCTGAAGAAGATGATTAAATAATCCACTGAGGTGGCAACAGGAGGACGTCTGGAGGCTTTGGCAGTGGCCAGCGCAGTGGGGAGGCTTGTCTGGCGGAGGGTCTCTAAGCAAGTGGGCTGCCAGCCTCCCCCCTTTCCCCTCCTGCTCCCACTCGCTCGCTCGGAGTCAATATGCTCTCGGATACCCAGGGGAGGGCCCTCTGGAGAGCAAAGAGCAGAGGCCATCACTCCCCAGGATGTTATCTGGCCAGGATTACCCAACGGGAGGGGGAGGAAATCAGGAGGCTTACAGGTCCAGCTATTTTATTTATTTTTTTAAAAAAAACCATGACTTTACCAGCTCCCTGGGCAAACCATGTTAAATAAAAGGGGGGAAGGACTCAGGAGGCCTCGGATGGCGTCTGAAAAACCAAGGCATTCCTTCCAGGTGCTGGTGGACGGGGAGGAAAGGAAGCCGGCATTAAGCTCATTGCAAGGGAATTCTTGCCACTTGCTGTCCCCACCACCCTCATCCCATTTTCATTTTTGCCCCAGTAAAAGAAAGGAGCTCTGTGACTGAGCAGAGACCCCCCCTCAGAGCCGGCTGTGTGCGCATTCAGGGTGGGACAACAAAACGGAAGGTAGGAAGGGAACCTGACGGGGCAAGCGAAGGGCAGGGAGGTGCAGCTGCGGAGAAAAGAGGGGCCCGGCTGGCTCTTGGGAAAGTAAGTATCAGCTCATCCAAAGCCAAGCCTGCATTTGCTGGTGCATCAAAGTCTGACTGGCAAACGAAGGACAATTACCTTGCTTTGTGCCAGAGCTTCTCCCGGGCTGGGAAACTGGGGAAAATTAGGGGCTTAAATCCAGTCCTCCAGCTGTTCCCCTCAGTGTCCTCCTGTTTCTGCAGAGCGACCTTAAGGCAAAGGTGAAATTCCCAGAGAGACATTTCCATGTTGGCACGGGGAAATCATAGCCCAGGGCTCAGGAGACGCAGGTTCACCAGCCCTAAAGGGCATTCAGGGGAGTCGGACTGGGACTCCTCTGGGTTGGAGATGGATCTAATGTCCCAAAGGTGCTTTCAAAAATGCAACTGGAGTTCCTTGGTTTTTTTCCTTGAAAACCAAAGAAGCTTCTTGGATGAGGAGTGGAACATTTTCAAAGGATAAAACCAAGAAAGTCCAGTTGCCTTTCAAAAAGCACCTCTGGGACAAGCCTGACCTGGATGACGGAGAACCTCCATAGACAGACGGATCCAACCGTTCCCAAGACGTGGCTCTGGGATTAGGCCCTTCTTGTGTTGGACTCGCCCTGCTGGTAAGTGACAGGCAACATTTGCAGGAGAACATCATTAAGCAATAATTTTAAAGAACAAAAATAGTATTAATCAAATTTACAGCTGGGAGAGAGGGTGTAAACAAACAAGAAAAAATGCATGCTAGGATTTTAATTAGGCCCATTTCTATTTATAACTCGCATTGAACAGGCACGAGTCATTTCCACCTCAGGTGTGAACGCCCACAAAGGGAAACAAATGCCCGCCCCAGAGGGGGAAACACCTGCTCCTCTCCCGAAGCTGGGAAGGTGCCAGGGAAAACTACTGCCAATTCTCAACGAGGGCACCACGCCGAGCCATCTGCTTAACTCCTGCGCAGCGGCTGGGATGGAAGGGAAGGCCAGGGCCGGCAAAGGGGTTCTCACTCTCCCTAAGAAGAGACCGCAAGTCTCATCAGGCATTGACAACAGGGCCAGGGGGAGAGAGGTGCCTGAGTCCAAGTGGATTAAACAGGCCCGTCCATGCCCTTTGTGGGGATGGTCCTGTGTCCAGGAGCCCCTGTGGAAAAGCCGAGGCGGATTCGGGGAGTTGTGGCCGCCTCACCATAGGCAGCGGAACTCCTGAACCTCACCGACTGGCAGCAGTTCGAAGGGACGGGCGATTATTCCCATTTACCTGGTCTGATTCTCTTCATGAACTTTCCACGGCAGAAGGAATAAGGTGGGAGACTGAAGGCACCAACCTTTTCAAGGTCTTAGGAGTGCTGGCAGTTCTCCCGACATGCTTTTTAAGTTGCACTGCAGCTCCTGAGCAAGGCAGAGAGTGGATGACCCAGGAGAAGACCCTTTGAAAGAAGCACTGAGCGGCTTCTTAACCTCCTGCTGGAAAGTCCATTTTAGGGTTTGCGTGGACCCTGGAGACTTATAAATTTGTGCACATCCCATTGGAAGCGAGGCATCCGCACTCCGGCATGCATATATGCTGGAAAGCATATATGTTCCTAAGTGGCTGCACCTTCCAGGAAAGGCAGGAGGGACCACCTGCTTCCACACGGGAGCCTCTGGTTTAGGGCTTCTGAAAGCAAAAGGATCCAAATGCTAAGAAGCAGAATTTGGTTCTTCTCTAGAAAGAGCGACGCTGGCAGCCGTCTTGTTCTGCTGCATGTGGAAAGAAAGGAGCCTTTTAAAGCCTCCATCAAAGAAGTTAAATAACTCGACTTTTTAATGACATATTAATCAAAGCACATTGATTCCTGAATCAGATTCTCTTGCCAAAGGAGGCTTTGATCTTCCCAGCCCTGACGCAGGCATTAGGGGAGTTTTATTCTGACAATATAGCAATCAATAAAATCTTATTATATGGAGCTGATATACATGGATTTGCTCTGAGGATTTATGCTCCACTTTCAGAGCCAGTACTACTTCATGCCTCTGCTTCAACCTGTAATTGAAAATAAATCTCTCCAAACACTCCCTGGTTCCAGTCCCTGGACGTATTAGCAGCACCAATGGTGTCGGCCTTCCCACGGGGGGATTGTCGCTCTGTCATCTGGCTTCTCTGGGCCACTTAGCCAGAGTTTTCCTGCTGAGAAATTCTTTGCCCAGCAGGGGGGATTCAGGGATGGTTCTGGGGAAGTCCACCCTCGGACTGAATTGGTAGAAATGTTTTAAGTGCCAGAATTCACTGAGTTGAAGCAGGAAAACAACCCACCACCCTGGATCTTGAAAGAACACTAAAGCCACAAATGCTGATTTCTCTAAGGATGGACGTGAAATTACTTTGCAAGGACTGTTGGCTTTTTGCCGTTTCTTAGCAGTCTGGTATTTAGGCAACCTATCAAGAAAACTACCCACAAAAACAGTTATCTGTGGCTTGGCTTACTTGCTTGAGTAACCTGCGACTATCTGTTCTGCATGAATGTGGGTGATTCCTCCTGGTAGAACACCACATCATATTGATGCCCTTATTTTACAATGGTTTAAGATCTGAGACGGCGTAAGAGGATGACGGGTGGGATTCCCCACCACAGAAGCACCCTGAAGAGCCACGAGCTTCCTTGGATTGGCTCCTGCTGGTAACGAAGCAGTGCAGGGTCTCTCCCCTCCCAAACTCTCCCTTAGGCCCATCCAACCAATCGGGGTCCAGGGATGCCAGGACCCCCCCCTCCTCCTTCCTTTGACTGCTGAGGCACGGGGGGGGGGGAGGCTTTTGAGGCTGTTTTCTCCGGCCCCAGCAGAGCTCCGTCAATAACCACCCTTGCCGCGGCTATAATCATTTGCATTCTGCAGGGACAGTAATTAACTCATTCAGATGCAGCCTTTGAAACTTACTTAGTAGCATCATTTGGCTGCACTCATAAAGATACATTCAGGAGTAGGAATTTCTCTGAGACACCTGACTGCACACGGCAAGTACAAAATTCCCTAGAGAACCTCTCAATTTTTTTGTGTGAAAAAAAAAAAGGCTATTTGGTACGGTCACGACTGAGCCAAGGAGCAGCCTTACTCAATTGGTAAAGCTCCCAGGAGCCACTAGATGGCAGGGACAAGTCAGAATTTTCTCTGTTTTCTTTCTGCCCTCTAGAGGTTGTGTTGGGGACTGCAATCCAGATCCGTGTAGTGGTTGAAGCTGGCAAAGCAGGACTCAAGAGATTCCCAGGTCATTCTGTAAACATGGAGCAGGCATTTCTGATGCTGAAGACTGAAAAAAAAGAATGTCACAAAGTCCACAGACCAGTGGGAGGAGAAGGCTGCTCTATCCATCAAATTTTGATTGAATCTTCTAGTACATATTTCTTCTTACTTTCTTCTTTGCAATGAACAACGTATCTAGCTAGCGTGCGTCTGTGAAGCTTTTGTGGTCACTGAACGTGGGCTGAGTTTCTGGACGGCAGAGATCAACAGCCTGGCCTCGTGAGACTGGACAATCTGGTAGGCCTGCCTTTTGCAGAAAAGGCCTTGCCTCAGAGAGGGAGGGGGATGGGAAGGGGGGGGAGAGAAAGAAACTGTTCACACACAAGTGCAGAGGAGGCAAACCTGTGTAGTCTGAGATTTGCATTTCCCTCCCTCGAATGGCATCACTTGTGAAGGAGGGCTGCTTGTCTAATCTTTTCAGAGGATCCAAAAAAAAAAAAAAAACCCAGAGGAAGAAAAATGTTGAGAGTGGTAACGAGGAGGAGAGCAATCAAAATGCCGTTTCCCTGCCTTCCCATCTCGGTGTGCTGCCTTTGGGGATGGGGGAAATCTGGGCCAGCCTTCCATTTGCCCCCAGTCTGAAGGAGGAATCCTTTTTCATCCCCTCCCCCACCCCGCAATCTAACTCAGAAGTGAGCTCAGGCCTGCGAAAGGGTTAAGTTTAATTTATACTGATTTCCATTTAATATCCTTCTCTCCCGTAGGAGCCAGCAGCTGTGAGCTGATTGTAGTTTCTCATTATGCAGCCTGTATCACTAATGGCCTGTGACAAAGGCATGCCATCTTCCAGGCCGTACCCCTGAGAGCCAATTAAACACATATACCCCTTTCCTGCTTGTGGCACGTTACAATGAAATTAAACTGAATTTCAAAATCATTTTCTTCTAAAGACATCTCTTTACAATAATTAATGCATGCTATTCCTTTGCATCTGAAATATTTATCAGGAAGATCAACTCTGAAAAATACATTTTGAAAAAAACAACAACACGGGATTGCCTGTAACTCTGAGTGGCCTGCCACCCTCCCTGGCACTGCAGCAAGACCTGCTCAGCTGCAGCCATTTTTAAGTTATTAGTACCGCTAATGATAATATCAAAATGAGTAAATACGAGTAAAAAGTCACCAGAGAGAGCTTAAGAAGGGCTGATGCGAAACAGCACGTGGCGATTGAGGGTCTCAGAACATTCCCGCACACTCTTTGACAGACCTCACCCCAACGTCAGCCGTCTGATCTGTGTCCTTATTCCCCTGGGGAGATGGATGGGAAGACCCCTCAGCCAGGGATTGCGGAGGCCAATTTGAACGGGGAACATTAGCCGCTGCTGAGCTCCTTGGGCCAGCTGGTGCCATTAAGGCAGGCGCTGCGCTGAGAGGCCTCCCCTCTCTGCCCAGGCCGGAGGCTGATGGACAGGAACGGAAGTAATCAGGCGCCCAAGCGCCACTCGCAAGATGAATGACGCCCAGGCTGAACAAAGGGAGGACACGCGTCCCTTGTGTACCAACTTGCTAATCCAAACAGCCGGCCGTGGTTGGGAGGAAGGCAAAGAGGAAGCCGGGGTCAACAGGCTTAAGCAGCCAAAGGTGATTCTAACAGGTCGTGTGCCATCCCAAGGCCCCCTTGCGGGGCTCTTTCTTCGGTGGGGCTGAAGATACAAGTGCAGTTGGTGGAACAATTAACCAGTGGAACAACCTGCTCCAGAAGTTGTGGAAGTTCCAACGCTGGAAGTTTTAAAGAAGAGATTGGACAGCCATTTGTCTGAAATGGTATAGCACTTCCTGCCTGAGCAGGGGGTTGGACTAGATGACCTCCAAGGTCCCTTTATTCTGAAGCAAGGCCTGCTCTGCTTTCCTACTGCACCCCTTCAGAAGCCCTTGAGAAGCAGAGCGGCCATCAAACCCAGCAGCTGGTGCCAAGAGACACCCTCACAGTCACAACCTGCGGCACTGACCGCCTTCGTCTCTTTCACAACTGTGTTTCCTGCTTTGTAAAGCGAGGCAGCTAAGTCAGCGGTCCACAACCTTTCCAGCCTGGTAGCCCGGTGCGGGGGTGGGGGGGTGGGAACGGGGGAGGTGGTGGGTGGCATGCGCACACACAGCTCCATTTGTGCAAGCAGCGTGCGTGCACACCCCCCATTCGCGCGAGTGGAGCTTAGCACATGCACGCTTGCCCCTCGCTCACGTGGCCCGGTTTCGAACAGGCTACGGCCCAGTAGTAGGTTGGGGACCCCTGAGCTAAGTCACCATTGTTCTATTATGGCAGCAACCTTCATAGTTTACTGGGTGGTGTGAAGCACCTTCTTTTTCTCTGCCCCAAACTGCGCTCGATTCAGGCTCCTTCGGTGACCGATGAGCCCTCAGTGGGGTGAGCAAAATGCCAGGACCAGGGCATAAGCAGCAGCACCCGAGAGGCCTCCTTCTATGGGCTCAACCTTTTGAGTGCATTACCATTTGATGGCAAATGAGGCACTCAGTCAGGCCCCTGCCTTAAGCGTACAATGAGTAGGAATCAGATTGTTGCGACAGAATCACTGAAACGCTAAATTGGTTAAAAGGGGTCAAGTGCTATTTGGATACTAGAAACACCATTCACACAACCATTTATCAGAATTTCAAGCCACAGCTCTGCACTGTTTCCAAGTCATGGGCAAGTGCAAATCCAGTCTATTTCTGTAACCTTGAGCCACAAACCAACATGTGGGGCTGCTTTTTTTTTGCCCGTCCTACACTCAGTAGCCCTATAAATACACAGGGTCAGTCCAATAGCACGTCTAACTGAATAATGCCTCAGCTGGTGGCTCATTTGGGTCTCCAGATGGGGAAGGGGGTCTCCATCACCTTTTAACTCAGTGCATCTCAACCTTGGGCCCTTACAGATGTGTAGACATGAACTCCCAGAAGCTGGGGCATTCTGGGAGAGGAAGTCCACACATCTTCAAGCTGCCGAGGTTCACAAACACTGTTTTAACTAGACCCAGAACCTGAGATTCTTATCCCCAGCAAAGTACCTGTCTTGAACCAGCCATCGGGAGTAAAGGCCTCCTTGGTTTCAACAGGTCTGCTCCAATACTCCCGAAACACTGACGGGCCTTTCACAAAGAGCTCCCCTTCTTTGGCATCGAAGCCTGGAGTCACCTGTGGAAACAGAACAGTTATCTACCCAGTCAGCCCCAGGGGTCTTCAAATCCCACTCCCCCCCCCCAATAATGGTACTGGACACATAGCAACCCTGAAGAAGCCTCTGGCCTGCCAAGATAGGCGGCTCTCTACAAACCCTGGATATCTGCATTCTGTTATGGAAAGAGGAACACCTGTCGGCCACAGAGATAAGACTCCGGACAGATCTGGACTTCTCTGGCCCAGGTCTCAGCATGACAGCGAGGTTCAGGCTCCAGTTCTGCCCCTCGGACCTTCACCCCAACTGCTGTCTACCAAGGCAGAGGCTGAGCAAGGCAACGTGGCTCTGTCACATTTCCTCCTGAAAACCTGGGCCAAAGGCGCCAGCAGCACTGAGAAGGGGCAGCCAGGCAGGTGTTTCCGTTCCTTCCCATATCAATGAAAAAACTGGGTGAGCTTTGAACACCCTGTTGCCTCTGCTGGGATGCTGGCACAAGCTCAGGGCTGCCCCAGCCCATGTAGAGAACAGCTCCCTGGCAGCGGGCACACCCTCCTCTTGTAAGGGCTCACAGCCACATTGCTGGCTTGGAGTCAGTCTAAAACACACAGAGAGATAATGAGGATGTTATCAGAAGAGGATTTCGTTCCCGTGTAGCTGTGCTCCCTTGGATGCTTTGCATATTGCAGCAAATGTTTGCGCGCACTCGTTCCCCTGTGGCAAACCAGCCCACCCCACAGGGCCTCTTCCTAAATCTAAAGCCTGCACCTTTTTTCCCAATCAGGGCCTGGCTCTGCAGCCGGCTGGCTTGCTCTCCTTTCTCCTCCCAAATCTCCAAGGTATCCTTTCGTTGATGCACCGGATCTAACTTACAAGCAGCTGCTGAAAGCATCAGATGGCTAATTGTACAGATATCCCATTCTCCAAATGCCATATTTTAATGCACATTCTAGCTGCTTTAATGCGTTCGAGCAACTTTAACACAGAGGCACGGCTTGTGCCCTGCAAGGCTGGCGCTTTATAGCTTTCTGCTGCAAAACAGATCCGGCAAGTTGAGTTAGGCCAGCCGGTGCGGCAGATAGGATTACATTTGCCGTGCATGGAAATAAAAAAAGATTGCAATAAATTCTCTGAAGGAAGAAAGCCAGCTGATTATAAAATGGTTATTTTCAAAGTTTCATTTTTTTTACCTCTCTATTAGCAGGTGGTCTTGGTGAGGGGCTATAGAGGGAGGGGAGAGCCAGCCCCTCTTAATACAACTTCCCTTCCCAAGCCCCAGCGGCTCAATAGTTCTTTTACAGGTAATTTCTAATGATTCCCAAGAATCACAGAGGGCGCAGATTCAGTCCNCCCCCCCCCCCCCCCCCGTGTAAGGGCTACATCCTCAGCTAAGAAATACAATACTATCCCCCAACTCAACAATGTTGCAATCAATAATTTATTTAATAAATGCATATGGCCACCCATCTCATAAACATGCCTCTGGGTGCTTAACAATTAAAAGCAGAATTGAAACAGGATAAAATAACCCTTTTTAAAAACAACAACAACCCAACATCAATACCTAGAATAGCTGTCAGAAAAACCTCCCGGATGAGGCTGAGGGGGTGAACTGGAGGGTTCCTCCTCTTCCTCCTCCCAATTTAAGGGGAGGCTGTCAAGGGCAGGAGCGAGTGCCTGGCCCTGGGTGTGTGGGGCAAACAAAGGGCTCCCCAGTGAAATCCCAGGGGCCACGTGATGGGCCACTGCCCCCCCCCAGATGGCCCTGTGCTTCAGTTAAGCCTGGATGGTTTTTGTGGCCTCCACAGGCTCTGCAAAGAGGAAGCCCAAAGTAAGAAGGCTAATCTGGCCGGAGGGACCTGGCTGTAAACGCCGCAGCTGTTCCCTCTCCCATCACCAGCGGCAGCAGCAGCAGGCAGGAAGAGCCATAAAATTTAATTTTTCAAGACGTCCCTCCACGAAGGCGTTTTCCTCCTCCTCTTCCTCCTCCTCCTCCTCCTCCTCCTCTTCCTCCTCCTCCTCCTCCTCCTCCAGCAGCACCACCATCCCTGCTGCCCGGCACTGGTTAAAAATGCAAAGGGTTTGCGCTGCTGGTTTATATTTGCAATTAAATAATTACCTGAATCAAGATACTTAAGGAAGACTAGGAAGTTTCCTCTTGGCACAGAAGAGGGGGTGTTAAGCAGGAAAAAGCCCCCATCACTCCTGCTAGTTCTATCTGCATAAATGAATCGTTTTATTAATCCATCTGCTTAACAAAAATCAGAAATCTGAATAAACAATTTTTAATCAGAGAGAGGGGGAAAACCCCCACAGTGGGGAGCTCTTAATTGGTGCCCCCTCCTGGTTTACACTGCCAGATGACATTGGTCACACCGCATTCTCTGAGTTATGCTCTATCCACATCCACCAGCAACCTCCCCCCCCCCCACATACTTTAAGACTGAACAGCAAAGAGGGAGCGCTTCGGCCCTGCTTGCACACAGTTCATCCACAGTGAGAGAAAGAATTTTCTCTCCTGCAACCCAAAAGTCCAAAAGCTATTGCTGAAATGCTCATAAATATGGAGATGGCGGTCAAGGTGAGGCATTCATTGCACAAGATGCAGTCATGGCCACTAACATAGGTGTGGGGGGGGGGGCAAAGGTCAGGTGGAGGGAGGACCTCCTGAAGAGAAATCCCACCACAAAGAATTGGGGAGGATTCTGGGTGAACTCTTAGGCAGGACATCCCGTTCCTGTTCCTTCTACCCGTTTTGTTGTTTTTTAAGTTATCGCCTTTCCTCTGCCTACTGAGTTCCTTCAGCTGCTGCTCAGCTGGGAGGGGGGCG